CAACATTTGAAACATCGCATGGTACTATGTCTGAAGGATTATTTTCATCTACCGCCTCATTACGCATGATCTCCCACAGTACTATCCTATTACGCAAAGACTATGTAGACGTGATCTTCACATGGACGAACGAGTTATTCTGACTAGAACCGTGTTTGAAGATTGTAAAGGGTTGTTAAACTTTTGAACAGTAACGTAGAAATACGTCGGCAAATGGAAATACCAACGTGGGACGATAAAACAGAACCTTGAGAAATAAATGCAGTGACATTTGGGAGCGCAAGGGGGAACTCGGGACTCGCGGAGCAGTTCCCAGTCAAGGAAGCCATGTTTAAAGTGCACGTTTTGTACGGAAATCACATCTTTGTGCCAAAGCATGACCTCAGAACATCAAGGGACATCACTGCGACCCAAAACAGATAGCCACAGATATGGCATGTACTCGGGTATTGGAAACAGGTTGACAGACGGAGCAGACTAGGCGTGATTGTTTGAAGTTCCGAGGCACACATACGGAATCAAATTGGTAGAACACAATTAGAGCCAGGTGAATTTTGGCGAGGGCAGTGGAGAATATTTCAGATTTGCATAGAAATGTAGGACGGGAGAAATAGTAGAATTTGAATACAAAGAAATTGATACTGGCGCTAAGAGGGCAGTGCTCACAAGTGATATGAAATAGTCCTGATCTCATTTAAGAGGGTGAGATATTACGCAGCAAGCTCTTTATCGTCTTTGGATAAACCTGAGTTAGAATTTTTCATAAGAACACTCTAGTCAGAAGGTTTCTCTTGCCTTCTTACCATCTGCTGTCGGAAAGGAATGGCGTGTGAAGCTATTTAAATGTTGGTATCAATGGCGGTACGTATAGGTCCGTTCGGCAAGTTGTCCATACACCCCTATAACTGAGCCAGTGTAACATCAGTTTGTTACCCTTCTTCAACTTGCTCTTTCCGTTGTCCTCTGTTATGCTCAATGCCGTGATGGTTAGGATGCGTTGACTGGTTCAAGGGTTACAAGTGACCTGAAGCCGCACGGTATCCAGCACGTCTGGATCACTGTTGATCGTTCAGTTATCTCAGTCGCCTTTGCAATTATCCCGGCGCTCCTGGAACTCATTCTCTATTTTGATGGCCCGCTAACGGACAAGCCTATATACATCTGGATTTTGGGGAAACAGGGGTTACTGCATTCTATGCGGCGGTCGACTCTGCTAGATCTCGTATTACCGGATTCACCACGCATGTACAGAGCTCTCTCTCTGACAATGGGTGGAGAGTATGGTTCCGAATCCGTCGTTTCTCGTTTGCCGTGGTCAGGGACTCCAAATTAATCGTGAACTTATTTGATATTCATAATCCCGAAATGCCACCAACCACGGGACCGTCACTGCAAATCCCAAACCAGCTAAAACTGGCACATGCCTCACGCTGCTAACGATTAGAAACTTGTTCACCAGTTTTACCTTGTATGTTGAGTACCGTGACTGGAATACGAATGTAGATCTTACAGCCACAGCCTTATGATGATGGTGGATTGCGAAACGTCCTGGAGTATTGCGGAGGCGGCTCGAAGAAATCTCCAATAAATATTCCGAGGTTTCTTCATGCGGAGATCAACATATAGTTGACTACATTTTTTCTTATAGGAGATGTGGAACCTGCCAGCAATTTAAACATCTTAGGAGTATCCGATTCAATCTAGAGTCTAACACTGAATACCAAGTTGGCATACACGTGGTTTGGATATATTCAAATGCCCAGGGGATTTTCATCCTAATTTGATCCCGTTTTCATCTTTATTTAGGTGAAACGATTTATAGTTTAACTTATTGAGAAATTGGTCAAGTCCAAGCTCAATCGGATATTCTGCATGGAATGAACCTGGGGACGGCAAATATTTTACCGACCGCGATCATCCGATAACAGCGAACAGGCGGATACTGTCTAAAAATCGACTGAAATTATTACACTTTTTGTATACTGGCTTGCTGCATCCAGGGTGAATGTTTTGAAGGGTACCGCCAATCCATTCATACGCCGTCAGACTGTGGATATGTTACGTATTAGGTATCGAATCATCAACGGTGAGACTCACCTTGATTAATTTATGTCTCTTTTCTAAGCCAAATTCGTTTGTAATTGTGAGCATTTGTCAAACTCTGTCCCATTTGTGTTCAAATGGAGCGTTTGGTTGACGGAAACTCGGGTCCAAGACTACCATGTGAGTCCCATGACGGGCGAAACCGGTGAGAGTATTACGTTTGTCGAAAGATACTGCCAATTTATTCATCAAACATCTAGAAATCTTCTAATGGACGTTTGAAAGTACTGGTAGAGCTGTATCTGAAATAACTTAGAGACTCCAGAAAAATCAAATTTCCTTTTACTCTATATGAAATGCTCTTAGTTCACTCAAAACACTTTTCGCCAATTCTTGAGCAGGATATTCTACTTTTATCAGTGAAAGCCTTTAGTATGGATGTTGATTTATTATTCTGTGAATACGATAGTTCCAAGGCATCGAAACATCAAGTGAATCACCATGAATTATTTACTCTGCTTGAGTAGGTGAAGAAGAGCATCAATTCCAATATTGAGTCTCAGACGTCATTTGGTCCACCCTAGGTTTTTTTCAATATTTTCGTATGCACATTTCTTCCTGCAACGACAGACGATACCGCACTGCTATAGCCAAGGGATTTTTGCTTGATTATGGAAGGAGATTCACACCAGCATACACTGAATTACCGAGGTCTCTTTCTTAGAGTTACAATTGCCCCGATCGAAGTCGCTGTTGCACAAGTGAACAATCCTTTGCTGACTCTGTCGTTGCGGATTTACAGACACCAGCTTACATCAGCTGGGGTTCTGAGATGACCTCTTTCGATGGTGGACTCCAAAAGGTCCTGGGTTGGTTACTGTCAATGACCATGTCCGACAGCTCTACCACGAAACAAAAAGTACGGTAGGGTGAGAATGGGAGTATGCCGCTATGCTTTCATGCGTTTCTGGAATTAGATAAATGATCCGGATATCACAGATCTGTGTATGAAATTCGTCCATCGCACAAAAAGTGAGAATACGCAGGAGTTTTAAAGCCACCAAATCACGAGTTCCAGTGAACTCGGACTAGCATGGAAAACTTCCCCACCATCGACAAAAAGAGAACCGTTTAGCGAATTCTCATCAACGTTTCGTCCGGAGAGTGAAGCCTGAAAGCACCGTACATCTGTTCCACCCTCACTGAGGCTCACGGGAACTGTGAGTCTCAAGAAACCAACACTCAACTCATTGGCTCGTGTTTTGAGCCCTTGGCCTCTTTCTTCTTCCCATACGTCAGTGGGTGTCGAGCTGTCATATAGAAAGAAACTGGCATGGAATAGATAAATGAGCCTTGCGTAATCCCGAAAGAGGTGAAATGTGAAAGCAAAACGTTACTGTTTGGTTTGGACAAACACGTTTTCTGTGAGAAGGTCAGCTCCACTCATGAATCGTATAAAATCCCGCTTTCCTGAATGGTGTTCACCCTCAAGTTGCTTAACTTACCACATCCCAGTACAGTGTGATGTGACAAAGCAGGTAAATAAATCATTAATTGAGTGAGCATATGCTTGAGTTTTCTTAATGGATGAATGAGTGAGATAAACCTTTATGCAATGCAGATGGGTTTGTTGGTAGAACGAAGTTGGACTTTGGATTGAACAAGCCCTGTCACCAAACAAAAACATGTCCGTGGTCACAAAGCTCTGCGATTCAAGTCCCCACCAAATTTCATCAAGTCAATGAACTTTGTCCACCGTTTAACCGTCGAACCACTTTGCATGTATGAGGCTGGAGATAAAGGATGATGTCTGATGACGTAACGAGGATTAGTTTGCACATGCCAATTAGGGAGAGAATTATGCTCAGAAAACGCGGTAACTTTCACTTGTAAGCTTGCATCTATGGTGCTACCACATTGCAACATGATGGTTTTCAAAAATTATCAACCGGAAATCTTTAACAATTGCACATCTTCAGTGTAGCCTGGATAACGATTGATAATCTTCGAAGTCAGAATCAATTATATAGCACGAGATATCCCCGCTTAAATCTTCATTGACAAGATTTGGGTGGAATTAGGTTTGGCGTTGATTTACGTGCATCATCGCTCAGGAGAACCACATGAACACTCCGAGGAACTCATTCCCTAGGTGATCTTAGTTCGCGACCGGCTTCTAGATACATAACAAGATTTTCGAAATCTGCTTTCAGAAAGTGGTTAAATTTACATGAAAGATCTTCACAAAGTAGTCCATCACCGGTGTGAGCGGTAAGCACGATCAACCCTTAGGTACAAACAAAATTTCATATAACCTTAGTTTGAACATAGAAAACATTTGTGTAAATTTTAGAAGAGGACGTTATTTATCTGAACCACTGAAATCTCTCGCAACCGTGGCAGATACCTAAGAAGTATCAGCGTTTACCACTAATGTCAGGCTGCCGCCGATCATGATGATGATGATGATGATGATGATGATGATGATGATGATGATGGTGATGATGATGATGATGATAACGATGTTGATGATGGAGATATGTGACGAAAACCAATTGGTTGTTTTTGGGCATTAGGTGAATGTCTAATACTAGTTACCGCTCACATCAGGAACAAGACTAGTGGACAGGAGCAGAAAAACGAAATACGGGATGCCGTTCTACATAATGAGAACATGAGAAATATATTGACAATTTATGTAGTTGTGGGCTTGTAATAATAGTTCGTCTAGCAAACGAGACCTTCGGACCAAGGGTAAACTTCGTTTCAGCCATTGAACAAGGTTATCAAAATTGTCGGTTACCCTGGTTATCAAAAACCTTGTACCGGAGTGCTATTAGATTTCTGGTGGATAGCTTTTTCACATTATCGCCAGACATTTGTAATGCAAAGTCCGATTTAGAAGAGGCGCACAGTATAAAATTCCGTGCAGATGGAGCTTCAAGTAAGACTGGACATGCTGCGTCGTTATTTGTTTCTCATTGCGTTCTTGTTCTGCGTCGCACATGTTGCATGGGTGGAAGCTACCGGTGTCCACAATTGGTCATCTATTTTTAACCAAGAACCGTCAACTAACTGGGCCGTCCTTATCGCTGGTTCTAACACCTGGAAAAATTATCGACATCAAGTACGTCTCAGTTGGTGTTTTGATTGTTTCGATTAAGCAATCTTTCTAAACTTTACATGAGATGGTTTTCGAAGGGATATTTGCCCTAATGGTCCCCAAAACAGTTGCATTCTACCCAATTATCTATATGGCTGTGATGCTCAACTGAAAAAGACGGTCGATCGAATTCACAACAAACGGGTGGACATTTCCTGGCCTGTGTTCGTTCTCGACAGCATGTTACTTGTCGTGCTAACATATTTCATTTTGCGTGTGGTAGATTCCACAGAACTATTGAACTCGGACGGTAGTGAAGTGTATTCTGAGTTAAAACTTAATCACCCATAAGTGTTTTATATCGCATTATGTTAGCTGAAATCACTGCCTGTGAGGAGAAGGTATGTTGTTGCTAAAAACGCAAAAATACCCTGGACCAAATGATTTTCAAGTCAACACTAATCAATTAACCTTGCTTTGTAGCATCATTTTAGAGAAACGCTCCTACTCTCCGCAGTACCGTCACATAGAGGCATCTGATTAAAGATCCAAGTTCCAGAAATATCAGGAAAACCACTCACGTTGCAGCGACAGTAGTTGTTACGCCAGACAGATCAATTTCGAGAGTACCGGAAATGCCTTGCAATATGAGGAAATAATTTTACAATACTTGGAAAGATCAAGTAGTGTTTGTTTGAAAGAAAAATATGGAACACCCCTCTGAAAGAATTCATCCGTTCGCTCGTGCCAAATTTGCATTTGGTTATATGAAAATCGTATGCAAAAATCGTACGCATATTGGATGTGTCCCTATCCAAGATTTAGTGCTTGCGCATGTCATCGTTCTCACACTTGACGAATTTGAAGCTGTGGACCACACAACCCCAGGAAGCCTGGAATCCCGCTACCTGTACCTAGGCCCTGTCTTTGAACTCCCTCGTAAAACGACATAAGGCACATGAAACGTTCTAGTCACAAGGGAAGTCGAGCCAAGTAATCGGCGATAGTTAAATTCACTTAGAGCCTCATCGAATCAGCTGAGATTGTTTAGATTGTTTCTACCCTGACCACGAAAAAACCAGTTAAACAAGCATTGACAAACTATTTCACCGCCATGTTCGATTGGAGTGATTTCTAGTTGGTCACGACCAGCTGGTTGATGAAGGCTGAAGTACAACATGCAACCAGTTATTTCTCAAGCCTTCGGAGGTTACACGATCGCTGTCATGACTGCATTTGAGGAACTACAGTTATTAAGTCGATTAATTGTTCAAAATTTTTATTCTAATGATACCTCATGTATACCAGGGATTGCTTGGCTGATAAAATGCCAGTTTGTGCCTGTTGCGTGTATAAGCTGGCATAGGAAAAGCATAACACCAGAGGTTCTTCCTTCCTCCACCTTTCCAGTCCACAAAGATTCTCAACCCATGCAGGTGTTGTTTTCTTACTAGAAGTTTGACTGTTCGTTGAATGATATTGTGCTCTCTGCCGAGCAGAAAACTTGTCCAAGTTTCGAAGGAATTTAGAGTGTTGGCCGAGTTCAGTAGGTGCATGTAGGTTGGTACACCATTCCACAAGCGTGGTGATCAGTATCTTGCGGACAACACTATCTAGTAGAAGTTAACATCAGATGTCGGCTTGTTCGGGAGGGACGTCTATATTGGTTCTGGTCGGCTTTCTTAACATTAGGCTTCAGAGGCTTCTCAACGGTCAGCTGCGGTGTATTCTCCATTCTAGTACAGCGACAGTGCATGATTATTCAACGCCGGAAATGGCTGTGATCCGGGTTTACACAGAGGCTGTCTTACGAGCGACGCCACGTATAGCTTATTTCAATGTGGTTTGACTCTACTGCCGGTTGATTTTTGTAAATGGGTGCCGTGGTCAGCGCATTTCAACTTTGGTTCAGCACCCACCGAAACAAATCGCCTAGGCGCTAAGTCTGCCGAATTGTCCATTAATGTCTCCGACAACCACAATAATATATGGGCTTTTGTTCAGGCTATCCTCCAAAGTTTGGCAAATGTCAACCATCAATATGGTAGACCATTCAATAAGAAGGCCTTTGGTTCAGGGATCTAGAGCAACACACCTCCATTATAATAAGCAGCAGCTATTAGATCACAACAGTAACGCAATGAGCAAGCGGAAACTCATGAAGAGATCAGCACAGCAACCGGGATGAGATTTTAATACACATTTCGGAAAAACGCAAAGCGTGTCCACGGAACAAGTATGCTTCGCAGCCTATTTCAAAGTGCAAACGTTAAAGATGGACAAACAAACTGAAGAATAATTTAAGAGCGTCTATGGTCAACTTCCTTATTCGCGCCGCGGTGTACAGCAGACAAGGCAATACCAAGTAAGCAGCTATAACCTATTGAACAGAAATGTAATCGTCTCATTTGCTGGTAGTTTTCGGAAAGCAAAAATTCTCAAGAGTCTTAAGAGGGTCAAAATTTAGCTACTATAAAACGACACCGTAAAGATGTTGCACAATTTCGGTTGTAAAATTCACCTTCAATAGGAAGCGGAGTGGAGTCTCGAGAGGTACACAAACTACTCGCGTGCCTAATCAGTAGTATCCACCGTCACAGGTATAATTGGCCATTTGTTGTTTTCGATTAAGGCCTTCAATCCAAGAGCCTAGTTGCGCTGGTGGATTTTCAGATTGATGGTGGATTGTGGAGACTTTCCGAAGCGAATTACAGCCTCCGACATGGATGATTTCTACCCAATCACCAACCTGGTATGACTGTCTTATAAAGACTACTCAGTGGGTTGTTGAGGCGCAAAACTCGTCAGCAGTTTTTGAGGTCTAAGCTCTCTCTGATAGACCCAGATGAAAACATTTTCAGTTGGAGTGTTAATACAACAACATAATTGGTTAAGGAATGACTAACTTCCATCACCTAGCAAACGAGGCACCATGGGTCAGATATATTCTAGAAAATCTCAAGAAGGAACAGCACAAGGAGTGGGCTGTGCGCAGTACAGTACATGGAACCCTTCTCATTACTCCCTAATCTAGTCCGCTATACGCATAACGATTTGTAGAAGTCGTTATGGTTAAATTATCGATCAATGGAGGTCAGGCTGACCGATGTCGTGAAACCCGATGCAAAATATGCAGCCATTGATATGAAACACTACGAAACATTTGGGACTTTCGCTTCCAGGGGAAGCAATAGTGCACTCTAGGGATAAACGTTTGCACGGAATTCACACCATTTTAATGCAAAACTAACGCAGTTTATTTGTTGTTCACGAGGGGTTTGAAAGACAGCTTTGAGGGAGTATCACGAAAGAATTCCGTGATGCTGATTTGCTAGCCATGTAGGGAACTTGTCTCATGTGATTGTATCCAAAGAAACCGATAAAACCAATGCAGAGAAACAGCATTGACAAAAAGTTTGAATCTACCACAATCACGAAGAATTGCCGTGTTGTCGTTCCTTGGAGGAATCCCGATCAAACCACGTTCCAAAGTGGGGTGCGGCGCGCGCTAATCAGTTGCTCGTGGCCAGTCGGCTCAGCTACCTAGCGATTGCCGGGATGTAGCGGCTTCCGGACAGTCCGGAGAAGCGCGAAGTACGCTTTGAATAAAATTCTAAAAAGGATGCATTAATTGCATAGTGAACGTTCTGCCAAGGGTTTGCCTCAGATAAAGGATAAAATCTCGATTGAAAATCCCAAACAGTGGATTTCCCCAGCGCAACAGCCAAATATCTGACTAGTGAGTTGTCGTGCCTTAATTCATGCAGTTGGGTAACGGAAACACAAATTAGTAAGGTACATTCAAATTATTGCTTTTGAAAAAACCGGCATTCCACCAAGAATGCATGATCCTAGGCACTCTGCATGCCTTATTCAAATTCCGCAACTTAACTGTCATTTGTATTTCACTTCAGGCGAACGTTTTCCACACCTACCACGTCTTGCGTGCAAACAAAATTCCAGCGGAGAATATAATCACCTTCGCCTAAGACGATATTGCAAACAATCCTAAGTAAATATCGTGTACAATATTTGACATCTGATGGTAACTAGTCTACTAGTCTGATAGTGACTAGTCTTCAGAAATCGTTTTTCTCTATTTGGCTTCAACTTGTCTCATTTTTGCGCCGTAAATTTTACGGATATAAATCATGAATGGAACTGGATGCCGTGTGTCTTTTGCGCCACTCAAGATAAAGTCTCTGTAAAGTCTCCACCATTTCATGGCGTTTCACGACACCAAACCCCATATAACTCTGACGAAATCAACACTAGTGAGTAGCAAAGTTTGACTTTGTTTCGATTGTCAGTAGTCTGGAATAAACAACATCGATACCAATATGTCGTTTGAGTGCATCAGACGGCTAATGATTTGGATCGAGGATAAAGCGGACAACGTAGAAGTCTTAAAATTTTGTAATACAACCGATTGCTGTCTTCAGTAGAGGAAACATTCTGCGGAACTTAAATGTTCCTTCTGGCTTCCAGTTTTCAATAATCGTAAGTTGTTTACTGCCGAATCGATTTACATTCACGGACACTTGGTGAGGATATGCTCATATAAACTGTTACTAGTAGCGTTGGCTGTACATTTACATAAAATAGTCACCTTTTTAAAACAATTTGTAAGGTTCAAAGTTGTCCACCCACCGGGATCATTGTGGGATGCATAGACAAGAGTTGCGATGCAGATCGTTATTATACATTCAATTGAAAGTGGGAAACAGGATGCCATCACCGTCGTTAAAGTTTAGCCAACTACAGGACAGGTAGCAAACTTCCAGAAGAATTTCCTTTTTCCATTCCTTTCCATCCGAACTACACGTAAATTCTTTTGCAAAAAGCTCGCTGCGCCTTCTCATTGTTTTATTTCAGCAAACTTCCAGAAGAATTTCCTTTTTTCATTTCTTTCCATCCGAACTACACGTAAATTTTTTGCAAAAAGATCGCTGCGCCTTCTCATTTTTTTATTGCAGAAATCCGTTTCCAGGTCAAGTGTTCAATGACTACGAGCTAGAAAATGTTTACAAGGATGTGGTAATTGACTACCGTAGAAAAGTATGTCCGTGCACAGAAATTAAATGAATTTGTTCAATGTGTAACACAAGGTGCAAATAACATGACACTGCGTATAAAAACACAATGGCAACCGTAGAGCAGGCCAACCAGTTTTACTGCATTCTAGAACGGTTAATTTGCCTGAACGAACATTAGCCATAAGGTGATAGTAAACTCCCAAGTAGCCCACGACCGAGTTCACATTTCTGCTTGCGGCATAGTAAGTAAGCCTTCAGTGTATTACCGGTATTTTCACAGCTTATTGTTCGATCTGAACCTTCGAAGCTAACGTTCTTGTCGAAATAGCAACCTGTATCAGTGCTCGACCCATATGCAGCCTTCAGTGTATTACCGGTATTTTCACAGCTTATTGTTCAATCTGAACCTTCGAAGCTAACGTTCCTGTCGAAATAGCAACCTGTATCAGTGCTCGCACCCATAAGCAGAGCTTCGTTCATGAAGTGTATGCGTCGACTCTTGTCTGGGAATTGTGGTGCCTCCTGGATTCGCCATTGGCAAATAGCATTCGATGGACATGGAATCAGGATTGGCTATTGGCTTCAATCAGAGTTCGTCATAGCAACCTGTCTGATCAATATGCCATGCTCGGTAAACTCACCAAAATTCGAGTTTTAAGCCCTCGTCAGTCAGCGACCGCCGTGAAAGTAATATGAGTGAACATGGAGAGCAGATACTAGATTTCTTTTGTTAGAATGGAATGGGTGGTTATCGCGAATAAAATAAGTGTGAAGTACACAATTTTCGCAGAAATTATCGATTATGAGTGGTTATTTGTTACAGGACTTCAAACTGAATATCCTCATGAGAGTATTGAAAGGCGATACGAAACTTGAAAAACGAGGGAAGAAAGTGTTGAAAAGGTGAGGTCGTGCGGAAGTAGACATTGTTGATGCACTTGCCAGAATTATAGTGTTGCAAGTCATCGTTTTCGGATTTGCCCATAATCTCTTTAATTATAGCTCCCAGAGTGCAGTCAAAAAGATTTGCTTTACTCCAAGAGAAACCCGGTTTACTAATTCTAGATTGTGGGTTATTATTTTATCATAGCCATCGGTCGCCACTTTTAACGAGTTACGAAATTATTCAGAAATGCGTGCTTGTGAATGATCAAATATCTCTTCTGAATTGTACAACATGGAATGGGTCGATCTTGGTTTTCTCGTAGTGAGGATTTGTTTTTACTCATTGTGTTGTTTCAAACCTCAATAATAGATAGACAAAATCCAAGTCCATTTGCAGTGCTGTCGATTGGCTGAACAGTAGGCCCTCAAATCCGTATCGCCGTTCACCGGTAACACTCCGAGCTTTTAGAATGCCCGTCTCGCCTTGGGTTCCATGCGGATTGATAACGTCGCAGTTAATCTTTCGTGAATCTTTTCACGGCTTCTTGACCCGCAGATGACGAGACGTGAAGCGCCGGGTTACAAATGCAAGCCAGGAAATCAGAAAATCTTTTATTCGCTTGCAAATCATAAATCTCCCGTTAAGTTAGTTACACACTTTGTGGACCCGGAATGGTGGTGCGATCTTTGATCACCCGGTCTTTGCTGGTCTATTAACCGTATTAACCGTTTCCAATCCCGCACATTGCTTGGCGAGATAGAGGAAGAAAGATAGAAAGACAGATGAGTAATCAAAGCCTGCAATGTCTCTTGCAAGACGCAAAGAGTGTTATCAACAGAAAGAGCCTTCACTCAAACACACTTCGGTAAATCAGACTACAGCACAACAGGAAATCAGAACGAATCAATCGAAATGAAACACTAAACGCAGAAGTCGGATTGAGTGCCACACGAGCAATCGGTAATCGATCAATCAGATCATGAAAAATGGTACTGAGGCAGAAAACACCTGAGTGGAGATAATGCAGACCATATGCAGTAACTACATTTTCAGTCAGAATATGTTGTTGGGCCTATTCTTGGAATTCAGCGGACAGATGGGCACTCTCATTATCAACGCATAATATTACACAGATATGGAAGAACTACCGACCCAATCATTCACTCATGATGTCACTTCCTATGGTGACGGGATATTTGCAAACCGATCATTAGGATCAGAGAATAGCTGAGCATACGGATTGGTGGATGTCCGTGTTGAATTGTAGGTTAGTCTCACGCTGAGTATAATATTGTTTCTAAGCAGTGAATACAACATGGGGATATTTTCATTGAGAGATTTGATTACGCTGCCAAGAGCGTGATTTGGGAGGAGCTGAGTGTCACCATTCCAACGGCAAGATGATGTAACTAGATACGGTGGAATACTGGCTCCAAAAAATCCACTTTTCATTCCCACATTCGTGGCCATGCAAATAGCACACTAATGGAATTCAATTTAGCGACTGATAATAGCCAGTAGCGTGTACGAAATTCTGACCCGCGTGTTCGTTATCCATTTACTTCATATGTTAGGCGCTCCACGGATAAGCCGCACAGGAATTGTGCGGATAAATGCCTCAAAGTTGAATGTATTTTCCTGCACATCATAATCGTGTGCCATAGGCAGAAATGAACTGGGGAACTTTTTATACCCTTCAGATTTCCTTCATCACCAGTTAAACAAGACCGTTTACATTACAAAGCGGCTTCTGAAACTTATGACCAAACCCATATTTTTGGTGAATATTATAATCAACTTTCTCTTTCCGCGGTTGTTTTGCTGCGCTTCCACATGTGCGAGAGCGCCACCAGATTAGATGCCTTTTAAGACCACCTTACCTTTCCCGTTCACTTGCAGCGGGCCTGAAGACAACGTTTTCATCTATTACACAGGACATGGTGCGGCTTCGTTTGTTACTTTTACACGTGAAAAAGTGAGTTTAGATAATTTTTGTAACAACGGCTATGTCTAAATTGACAACGCTGTGAATAGACGCATTGCCACCGGTGATTCCTCATAATACAGAGTTTATAGTGACAGATGGCCTACGCATCCACCGAATGATGGAAATGTAGCCCTATTTACCTCTGGAGAGACAGCACGAATCTTCCCTAGTATGAATGGGCCCCCGTATACTAGGTATGAGAATGCAGTCTGGGATGAAATGCCGACAAACAATGTATAACTGTTCCATTCTTATTGATTATCATCAACGGTGCGCTTTGTATCTGCCAAATGTAGTCGTTCGGCAACAGTGGACAACTGACAGCCTTATTTATCCGCAGATTGCCAGGCTATAACGTCGCCTATCCTTCAGTCAAGAGAACTACATCACAGGTGGCTTATTCCTGGAGTGACAACACATATAGCAAATCCATTCACCGTGTGAATCATTGTTCGTTCAGTACTAATTACAGTGTGTTAGTAGTGAGATCACATTTGTAATTCTTCAGTTCAATGGAAATCACCCTAAGTCTCCATCAAACGTGATTAGGGCTAGAATACTGTCCACAGATTGGCTTGACAAACAGTACGGCATTTCACTTCTCCACGAGCTGTACAAGCCTTATGATGCGATTCCTTATATCAAGGCTACATGCATTCTCATAGGGAACCGTTTTACGGAGCGTATTCATCTGCCCTTCAAATGCTTTCTTAATATTCAGCGAAAAATATTTAAGCCCATCTCGGCGAATGGGATGTGGAAATGGTTAAAAACGGCCGCGATATTGACACTTACTTACTTACTTACTTACTTACTTACTTACTTACTTACTTACTTACTTACTTACTTACTTACTTACTTACTTACTTACTTACTTACTTACTTACTTACTTACTTACTTACTTACTTACTTACTTACTTACTTACTTACTTACTTACTTACTTACTTACTTACTTACTTACTTACTTACTTACTTACTTACTTACTTACTTACTTACTTACTTACTTACTTACTTACTTACTTACTTACTTACTTACTTACTTACTTACTTACTTACTTACTTACTTACTTACTTACTTACTTACTTACTTACTTACTTACTTACTTACTTACTTACTTACTTACTTACTTACTTACTTACTTACTTACTTACTTACTTACTTACTTACTTACTTACTTACTTACTTACTTACTTACTTACTTACTTACTTACTTACTTACTTACTTACTTACTTACTTACTTACTTACTTACTTACTTACTTACTTACTTACTTACTTACTTACTTACTTACTTACTTACTTACTTACTTACTTACTTACTTACTTACTTACTTACTTACTTACTTACTTACTTACTTACTTACTTACTTACTTACTTACTTACTTACTTACTTACTTACTTACTTACTTACTTACTTACTTACTTACTTACTTACTTACTTACTTACTTACTTACTTACTTACTTACTTACTTACTTACTTACTTACTTACTTACTTACTTACTTACTTACTTACTTACTTACTTACTTACTTACTTACTTACTTACTTACTTACTTACTTACTTACTTACTTACTTACTTACTTACTTACTTACTTACTTACTTACTTACTTACTTACTTACTTACTTACTTACTTACTTACTTACTTACTTACTTACTTACTTACTTACTTACTTACTTATATTTGCAAACCGATCATTAGGATCAGAGAATAGCTGAGCATACGGATTGGTGGATGTCCGTGTTGAATTGTAGGTTAGTCTCACGCTGAGTATAATATTGTTTCTAAGCAGTGAATACAACATGGGGATATTTTCATTGAGAGATTTGATTACGCTGCCAAGAGCGTGATTTGGGAGGAGCTGAGTGTTACCATTCCAACGGCAAGATGATGCAACTAGATACGGTGGAATACTGGCTCCAATCACCTTCATTTATGAAAAGTCAAAAGAGCTGCTATATCACGTGAAACTGTAGCAAACCAGCAGGTGAAACAAGACCGTTTACATTACAAAGCGGCTTCTGAAACTTATGACCAAACCCATATTTTTGGTGAATATTATAATCAACTTTCTCTTTCCGCGGTTGTTTTGCTGCGCTTCCACATGTGCGAGAGCGCCACCAGATTAGATGCCTTTTAAGACCACCTTACCTTTCCCGTTCACTTGCAGCGGGCCTGAAGACAACGTTTTCATCTATTACACAGGACATGGTGCGGCTTCGTTTGTTACTTTTACACGTGAAAAAGTGAGTTTAGATAATTTTTGTAACAACGGCTATGTCTAAATTGACAACGCTGTGAATAGACGCATTGCCACCGGTGATTCCTCATTAAACAGAGTTTATAGTGACAGATGGCCTACGCATCCACCGAATGATGGAAACGTAGCTACGACATTCGGACGTCACTCACTGTCAAGTTCGGTAGGCCTCGCCAAAGATGCTATACTGATAACACTATATAAATTTCGTTTTTGCCAAGTTTAAGGTCGGTAAACTCACATGAATTGGTGGTTGATTCATTTACACTGTTGAGCAAGCGTATATACGATAAACAAGGAAGATGATCATATTCGGTTACTCATGTGGCGTAGATGATACTAAGACAAGAAGCCCTATTTACCTCTGGAGAGACAGCACGAATCTTCCCTAGTATGAATGGGCCCCCGTATACTAGGTATGAGAATGCAGTCTGGGATGAAATGCCGACAAACAATGTATAACTGTTCCATTCTTATTGATTATCATCAACGGTGCGCTTTGTATCTGCCAAATGTAGTCGTTCGGCAACAGTGGACAACTGACAGCCTTATTTATCCGCAGATTGCCATAGTATGAATGGGCCCCCGTATACTAGGTATGAGAATGCAGTCTGGGATGAAATGCCGACAAACAATGTATAACTGTTCCATTCTTATTGATTATCATCAGCGGTGCGCTTTGTAGCTGCCAGATGTAGTCGTTCGGCAACAGTGGCCAACTGACAGCCTTATTTATCCTCAGATTGCCGGGCTATAACGTCGCCTATCCTTCAGTCAAGAGAACTACATCACAGGTGGCTTATTCCTGGAGTGACAACACATATAGCAAATCCATTCACCGTGTGAATCATTGTTCGTTCAGTACTAATTACAGTGTGTTAGTAGTGAGATCACATTTGTAATTCTTCAGTTCAATGGAAATCACCCTAAGTCTCCATCAAACGTGATTAGGGCTAGAATACTGTCCACAGATTGGCTTGACAAACAGTACGGCATTTCACTTCTCCACGAGCTGTACAAGCCTTATGATGCGATTCCTTATATCAAGGCTACATGCATCCTCATAGAGAACCGTTTTACGGAGCGTATTCATCTGCCCTTCAAATGCTTTCTTAATATTCAGCGAAAAATATTTAAGCCCATCTCGGCGAATGGGATGTGGAAATGGTTAAAAACGGCCGCGATATTGCTTACTTTACTTACTTACTTACTTACTTACTTTACTTACTTACTTACTTACTTACTTTACTTACTTACTTACTTACTTACTTTACTTACTTACTTACTTACTTACTTACTCACTCATTTACTCACTTACTCACTTTCTCACTTACTTACTTACTTACTGAATGTCAACCGGTAGCTGGCTGAAAATGTAGAGGACACGATGTCACTAATACTTCAATGAAACAAACAGACAGATAAAACGACAAGGTAAGGAGCTATAAAATCACCAGGGCGAACAAAACGCAATCAAACTTATTCCTTCAACTGATCCTGGTGGAAAGTATTTCCAAAAACTCAGTACTCGTTCAGCTATATTCTTCCAATCTCATACGAATTTTCTTTTTATTTATGCTTTACTACAGCTCACTGCCACCCAACTGAACGATGTCCTCGCAGACATGCGTTCGAACAACAAGTATAATAAATTGGTGTTTTATTTGGATGCTTGTTACTCTGGCTCTATGTTCCACGATATTCTTCCTTCAGATGCGGGAGGTAAGTAGCGTAATTTTTTTGGCTGGCACTCGTGGGGACACTGTGAATATCATCCAGAATTTCCTTCACATATGGTAAAATACCGCACTGGCCAGTATAACAAAACCAATTAGCGAGCATGTGTGTTCACTTGTGATCTTCATTGGAGACAGTCCCCGGCCACCTACAAGAAGCTCTTAGCCGGATAGCGAACAACATCCAACCTTCATCAATCAATGTCACCACAGCTGCTGAGCTAGTTTCAGCTGGTTAGAAGATGTCACTGCAATATATGTGCAACACCTGTGATCCTTGGGATCCCTCTGCAGCAAACATCCTTCCCAGGTGGATACAAAATATGAATGAATATAGGGTCGTTTATAAATAGTGCACTTCCACAAATCAAACAGCAGGTATAATACAAGTGTCATTCTCCTCGTTGGTCTCTTTTGATGGAGGTTTTATCAGAGAAAAAAAAATTATATATGTAAATCCTGGTGTGATTTGGACGGCATCAACTGATCCCAAGAATTGATTATGATTGAGGGAAATTCAAGGTCTGTGGCTTTTTTATTCATCGAGAACTGCGGATTTCTTATCGACACACAAAAGCGAGAAAGTCATGCGTTTTGTCAAAGATTTATCAGCGACCTTCTGATTAGTGTGTTGTTTTGCGAATTCTTGTAGCGTCACGAGTACTGAGTCACGGTATCGGTTTGCCAATTATATAACTCAATATTCCACACCTTTTTCATACTGATCCATCCGTTTTCTTGTCCGAACCCCCAAAAATTGCAGTCTACGTGACAACCTCAGCCAACGAAAATGAACGAAGTAGGGCTGTTTTTTGCAATGACAAGCGAATCAATATATGTCTCGCGACCGAATACTCGTATGCCTGGATTACGGATTCGGAATACGTGAGTTTTATCAAAACTGTTGCAGATAAGCGGAAAATGACTATCTCCCGCCACCGCTACCGTCACCACCACAGCCATCACCGCCATTCCCGACGCCACCGCCAACGCCAACTTTGTTTTCAGTCATGAAGAAAATTTCTGAAGACGCGGCAATAACGACCGTTCGGCGACCCCAAAATAATGAAATAATTGGTTGAATATCAAACAATTCTCACTGACCATTCGATCTGGTTTGCTTCTCACCTCGCAGAGTGATATGAAAGAGAATATCGAAAGTCCTAGTACTATCAGTACAACTCGCGCTTAAGATGGAGAAATCCCTATTCCCACTATCACTGGTTAAAGCGCTGTAAAGTTCGACCTCCTGTCGGTGTTAGTGATGTTGTGGTCATTTTGGATTCAGATCGCCTGCGTGAGTGTGTGAGGCTGCAGGTGTATTGGAATGATTGTGTTAGGTCAGTGCTAAGTCAGTTCCCCGTCCATTTGGATTCTTCTCTTTTGAGTAGGACCTCAAATGAATTTGGATTGCCGGCACGTAAGCGTCAGGTTGAAGACTCCTTAATGATGATGATGACGCTGATAATGGTGGTGATGTGGATTGCCCTAGAGCGTCAAATCCTCAACATGTGTATGTGTATAGGATCCTGGCACAGTGGATTGCTCTCTGATTCGTCAGTAGTATTCGTCGTTTTGCACGTCGGTTGCTATTGAGAGGAGTGTTTTAATCCGTGCCCAGTCCAAATTGTCATAAAACTAGAGGTGGACAAAACTTGACATGAAAGAAGGGAATTAGGGACTTAATGATAAAGTTGTGTTGTATGTGTATGGTGTCTTGGAACGGTGGAGTGATCACCGGTTTCTCAGTGATAGGTGTCGTTACATAACCCGTGTGTCTTAACTCTGGTGGTTTCACTAGTTTTGCCTACATTGGATCCATGTTAACGTTGCGTAAGCATATCCGTCCGCTTCACATAGCCTCCCTTTGTCATTACTACTCACTCTCGCGCAGAAAGACTTGAGAAAGCGTACGCTGGATCAACAGTACGAGGAGGTAAAAAGGAGGACAGAAAATAGTCACGTGATGAAGTATGGTGAGATGGTGAGTCACAAACTGTCACGGAGAGATTCAGTTGAGTCACTTGTGAAAGCTAGACTGTTATGTAAAACAGTGTATTTGTCGAGATGACTGTGGAATTCCGTTGCATGTGAAAGTTGTCGTTCAACGTCGAAAATAGCTGACTAGGGGCTTCGGGTTCCACAAACGAAGTTCTGCAGGTCGGCTAGTCCAGGCCGACTACAGGCCTACGCCGTGTCATCTCTTGGATAACGAAGCAGCGTTGTTGGGTACCTTGTCATCTATACCTTTATGTGCTTTGGTACAAAATTGACTCAAGTCTATACGAAACATCCACAAGTTACTCAGAAAAATAATATATTTGCACGATGGCCGAAGCTCTCATCTGAGAAATTATCACTCGAGTAGATAGGCAATATGTGGCCACGCGATGCAGTTTCCCGTGTTTCCATGATGAGTGAGGCTGCGTGGTGTCTAAGTAAATGGCAACCACACTGCTGGTCAAGCTGTTGTGGTTGAGCGTCTAAGTAATCAGTCATTGGCCGAAAGGACACCGGTTCCTCATTCGATACTGGGGTGAGATGCCTTCTGCTGCCCACCCACAAGAAAGATCGGACATCTATACAATGCTTTTCGGTTTTCCAGGGCAGTTTGGCTTCACTGAAAGGATGAAATGTCCAATCGACTATGAATGTTTTGCTAGACGGCTAGAAGCGAAAGTGCACAATTAAACGGGTATAGACGATTGATATAAGCACGTCACACACTCATTTTTTGTGCGATTTAGATTTACGCTATGCAAATTAACGACGTCTTTGGCGAACTATCAAGCTGAGTTTAGCGATTCGGTCAGATATTCAGGCTCCTTTTGTGGTTATACGTTACTCTGATCAAAAACAATGATGCTATGATTTCGTTCATTTTGTAGTCCCAAGATGTTGGAGAGCATGGCTTGTAAGGTAAAATAATTTGCGAAAGTTTTAGCAGCTGACAGGCTCACTGCTTCCTGAACTAGCGAGTACCACGAAGCACACATTCGGAATATACCTCAGCTAATCGGATACCGCGCACGTGTAGCCTTAGTGTAGAATGCCGGATGTATTTTAGACCTCTTACTCTTTTTATGGAATAAGTTGGTTTGTGAGTTGATAATACACTGACCGGTGTATGTTTATTGTTCATTCCAGACGACGGGAAGTCTCCCAGTTGGAAAGTTCCAAGGCCAATATGATCTATTGACGCACCGGAATGATGTGCCAATAACAGTATGTGTTCAGCGCAATCTTCGACATTTTGAATGGTCTATTGGAACAGTCATTACTTACACCGTTAGACGTTTAGGGAACCACGTGGCCATTCGGCAGTCCAGTGCCAATCTAATAAGTTTGGTTGCTTTGTAATCGATTATGTTATTCTCTTCAGTGATAAAAAGGCTTTCCACCATACGAGTCGATATAGCCACAGGTCTTCCTGTTATGCGAAGGCACCTATCTTTTCCCATATTCAACGAACCGGCCAGGCTCTTTTCCCCATAACCTAAATCGGTCTTGCTGCTTGTGTCCCAACGGATTTGCCATGCTTCAGATGTGTCCGTTTTATTTAGAAAAACGGGTACATGATACATGCCGCAACTTTCAGCTGCCGGAGGACTAACCTTACTAACCTTACTTCAGTGGCGAGAACAAGGGTGATTGGTGCACGAATCTGAACTGTCTTACCAGGTCTGTCGAATACCTATTAGCTTCTCTGACGTGTGCAAAACTAAAACGCCAGGTGGACATAACATTCGTGAGTAAATAGACAGACAGATGGATAGATGGATAGATAGGTGGATAGATACATGGATAGATGGATAGACAGTTAGATAGCTAGACCATTCCCCTTACTACAGCAGGTGTTACCCAATGTTTTTCTTTGTTCTAGCCGAATGTTTTAGATAGTCAACTCTCATCTCGGACGCATTTGTTAACACTCTCCAGGCGCCTGATGGAGGCTACAGCTGAGAAAGAACACGAATTAGCTTGGCGAAAACTGCACCGGGCACTCCAGGTTTGTAGTTTATTTGTTACAAAATTGAACCCATAAAGATAAATGAATGTACGATGAAAAGGTCGTTCTAGGTGAGATTTGATTTGTTCAGTAGAGAATACGTGTCTAGGATGCATGGGGCAGGTAAACGGTAATAAATTTAGTGTTTTGGCGGCCGTTCCCTGAAGGCAGCTGAAAATTGAACGTCGTCCATTTAGTTGGGCGGGAAATATTTTACGGTCTATCGGTAATCAACGGACTATTCCTGTCGCTTTTTCAGCTTGGTCACATCGTCAAGGAAACTTTCCAGGACCTTGTCATGGATGTGACAACCCACCATAGGCCATTGATGAGGGACTTGTCCAAGAGGGATGAGCTCATATGTTACGAAACTGTATGCGATCACTTTGAGACGCACTGCTTCACAATGCAGCAGGTGAGTTGACCCCATGGTGCACACAAAGAAGTGTACAAACACGTTGCCATCTTATTCACCCTTGGCGTCACCTAGAACGAGCAGCAGTCCCAAAAAACTCCTGTTTAAACGTCCAGTGTACGACCTTTACGGTAGGAAATTTAGGGCCTGTCCGGTAAACGAATCACCAGCACTCTTGTTCTTTCCTTAAAATTGGACGTTCATTTAGAAACATGGTGTTTCAACAGTTCGTGGGATAGTTTTCAAAGCAAGTTTATGTCTATCGCCAGGGCGAATCACGGAATATTGAGTGACTTATTTTTAGCGTAGTGAACATATTAGCCATTTCGAAATGCTCTGGAATAAGGTATCCAATTTCTAGGAGTGAATTTGTGAACATATCAAGAGTAAAAGCAGCTTAACGAAGATGTCTGAGGACAGTGTAAATAAGTTGAGTTGATATGAGTTCAGTTCAGTTCAGTTCAGTTCAGTTCAGTTCAGTTCAGTTCAGTTCAGTTCAGTTCAGTTCAGTTCAGTTCAGTTCAGTTCAGTTCAGTTCAGTTCAGTTCAGTTCAGTTCAGTTCAGTTCAGTTCAGTTCAGTTCAGTTCAGTTCAGTTCAGTTCAGTTCAGTTCAGTTCAGTTCAGTTCAGTTCAGTTCAGTTCAGTTCAGTTCAGTTCAGTTCAGTTCAGTTCAGTTCAGTTCAGTTCAGTTCAGTTCAGTTCAGTTCAGTTCAGTTCAGTTCAGTTCAGTTCAGTTCAGTTCAGTTCAGTTCAGTTCAGTTCAGTTCAGTTCAGTTCAGTTCAGTTCAGTTCAGTTCAGTTCAGTTCAGTTCAGTTCAGTTCAGTTCAGTTCAGTTCAGTTCAGTTCAGTTCAGTTCAGTTCAGTTCAGTTCAGTTCAGTTCAGTTCAGTTCAGTTCAGTTCAGTTCAGTTCAGTTCAGTTCAGTTCAGTTCAGTTCAGTTCAGTTCAGTTCAGTTCAGTTCAGTTCAGTTCAGTTCAGTTCAGTTCAGTTCAGTTCAGTTCAGTTCAGTTCAGTTCAGTTCAGTTCAGTTCAGTTCAGTTCAGTTCAGTTCAGTTCAGTTCAGTTCAGTTCAGTTCAGTTCAGTTCAGTTCAGTTCAGTTCAGTTCAGTTCAGTTCAGTTCAGTTCAGTTCAGTTCAGTTCAGTTCAGTTCAGTTCAGTTCAGTTCAGTTCAGTTCAGTTCAGTTCAGTTCAGTTCAGTTCAGTTCAGTTCAGTTCAGTTCAGTTCAGTTCAGTTCAGTTCAGTTCAGTTCAGTTCAGTTCAGTTCAGTTCAGTTCAGTTCAGTTCAGTAAAACGCCAGGTGGACATAACATTCGTGAGTAAATAGACAGACAGATGGATAGATGGATAGATAGGTGGATAGATACATGGATAGATGGATAGACAGTTAGATAGCTAGACCATTCCCCTTACTACAGCAGGTGTTACCCAATGTTTTTCTTTGTTCTAGCCGAATGTTTTAGATAGTCAACTCTCATCTCGGACGCATTTGTTAACACTCTCCAGGCGCCTGATGGAGGCTACAGCTGAGAAAGAACACGAATTAGCTTGGCGAAAACTGCACCGGGCACTCCAGGTTTGTAGTTTATTTGTTACAAAATTGAACCCATAAAGATAAATGAAGATGAAAAGAAAAGGTCGTTCTAGGTGAGATTTGATTTGTTCAGTAGAGAATACGTGTCTAGGATGCATGGGGCAGGTAAACGGTAATAAGTGTTTTGGTTTGGCGGCCGTTCCCTGAAGGCAGCTGAAAATTGAACGTCGTCCATTTAGTTGGGCGGGAAATATTTTACGGTCTATCGGTAATCAACGGACTATTCCTGTCGCTTTTTCAGCTTGGTCACATCGTCAAGGAAACTTTCCAGGACCTTGTCATGGATGTGACAACCCACCATAGGCCATTGATGAGGGACTTGTCCAAGAGGGATGAGCTCATATGTTACGAAACTGTATGCGATCACTTTGAGACGCACTGCTTCACAATGCAGCAGGTGAGTTGACCCCATGGTGCACACAAAGAAGTGTACAAACACGTTGCCATCTTATTCACCCTTGGCGTCACCTAGAACGAGCAGCAGTCCCAAAAAACTCCTGTTTAAACGTCCAGTGTACGACCTTTACGGTAGGAAATTTAGGGCCTGTCCGGTAAACGAATCACCAGCACTCTTGTTCTTTCCTTAAAATTGGACGTTCATTTAGAAACATGGTGTTTCAACAGTTCGTGGGATAGTTTTCAAAGCAAGTTTATGTCTATCGCCAGGGCGAATCACGGAATATTTAGTGACTTATTTTTAGCGTAGTGAACATATTAGCCATTTCGAAATGCTCTGGAATAAGGTATCCAATTTCTAGGAGTGAATTTGTGAACATATCAAGAGTAAAAGCAGCTTAACGAAGATGTCTGAGGACAGTGTAAATAAGTTGAGTTGATATGAGTTCAGTTCAGTTCAGTTCAGTTCAGTTCAGTTCAGTTCAGTTCAGTTCAGTTCAGTTCAGTTCAGTTCAGTTCAGTTCAGTTCAGTTCAGTTCAATAAAATATATTATAAAAGCTAGTTCAGTCCCAGTAGTTCTTTCAAGTGGTAGACTGCGTCAGCCAATACGTTTTTGGTTCAGTTCAGTTCAGTTCAGTTCATTTCAGTTCAGTTCAGTTCAGTTCAGTTCGGTTCAGTTCAGTTCAGTTCAGTTCAGTTAAATTCAGTTCAGTTCAGTTTAGTTCAGTCCATTTCAGTTCAGTTCATTTCATCTCAGTTCACTTCAGCCCAGTTCAGTTCAGTTCAGTTCAATTTTAGTTTGGTTCGGTTCAATTTAGTGCTGCATATCACAGTTCAGTTCAGTTCAGTTGGCTTCAGTAGCTCCGTTCGTCCGCAGGCCCCTTTCTCTTGCTGACGTGAAAGTACCCAAGACGGCCTAAATACACTACTACGGCAGTGATTCTCCTTCTTCTGAGTTGAGATAGGGCAGTCGCGACGAACGTTCCGTGTGCTCAACGCTGCTAGAGACGGCCTAAATACACTACTACGGCAGTGTTTCTCCTTCTTCTGAGTTGACATAGGGCAGTCGCGACGAAGGTTCCGTGTGCTCAACGCTGCTTAGGAGGGCTGTGAAGCACATTTGGCCAGCCCTTCTGGTTACGTTTCTGGTATTGTTATTCAAGTTGAACAATTGCGTGGGGTTCACACTATTTCACTCATCCGCTACGTAGCTTAAGACTTTCGCGTGTTCTGTTCTAAGGGTGAAGGAGTTCATTCTGAAACGAGTCGGAATGTCCGAAATTCAGAAATGCTGATAATCGCCAATACCTCTCTTAAGTAACGTTTCCTAATTTCGGGCCTAGTAACCGAGGATCCTTCAGTGTGCATCACTGAATATCTTTCCCATTCTTAACATAGTTGGCAATTTTGTCGGGATTGCTGAATTCTGTTGGTGCAAACACACTGTACTGTTCCTTTGATAGCATTCTTAGGCATTGGTTCAAACCTGTGTTGGACATGTATGATCCTGGGTCCGTCGTATGCGTGGTGAACATTTTATTTGCATGCCTGGACTGGTTTCCTGCTGAGATCATGTTATCTCTCTGTTTTCAGGTCCCAGAGGTAGCGCAGCACACATTTCATCTACTGGAGCTGTGCAAAGCCAGATACGAGGCCGAAACCCTCATCGAGTCTGTCTACAACGTCTGTTCCTAACGGACGCACAATGTGCCGTGTGATTATGCCAAAATAAAATGAATTGCAACTGTTCCCTATTGTGTACTGCTACCGTTACAAGACATGGGTTGCATTTCTTCATCGAACTGGCGGTCAAGATATCGTCTGGCATAAATCGATGGAATTAAGTTAAAATCGTCCGGATTCGAAGGTCTTAATTGTCAAGACACTTTCACATCTTTGACGTTCCATTGCAAGTTACGTGTGCAGGGATGATAACAATAGATCGGCCATTCAACGCAGCAAGGACAGTTAGCGGGTTGCCTGCTCTAATTCCAATAGTCGCATAGTCAAACTGAGCTCCATAGAAATTGAATAAATTCTCATACATCCAGTCACAACTTCATCGGATGCTTAGTTGTAGTCGTCGTGACCATGCAAGTTTGTTTAACAATCAGATTAATTATTTGAACTTGTATGTTTTACAATTGCTTTGTTTCGACCCTGAGGATCTGATAGTGTAATGCTACTCATACTCTGCATACTCTTCACCAGCTCATTACCGGTCTCTCTTTTCGGAGTTTCACTTGATAGGTGTACAATTTGATGTTCAGTTATGACAGGGTTGGTGGAAAATAAGGGACGAATCAACGCCGTGTGACAGTTGATTAACAAGTTCCGCAGATGTCTTTCCTGGAACGAACAAACAAAGTCATTCCAAACTGGACAGTCCTTCTGCGGTTGGCTAGGCACGTTAACCCACAGACTGAGATGGGGGTTTTTGTGTGATGTGTGGACTACGGTGTACGAACAATGCCGTTTCGTAACATCCCTCTAGTGGAGGCAGATCCCCATATAAAACCAGCAACATATACGTCGTCATTCACTGGGTTGTAAGTAGTTCTACTGACTGCAAGTCCCTGGAGATAAATAACCC